GGCGCGCGGGGGCGCGGGGGCGCGGGGCCGCCACCGTATCCCGGTCCCCGGGGTAGGACCGAGTTCTCAGACAGGGCGACACTATGAAGTCTCTAAAGAAGGAGTCCCGCCTCCGAATACCCCCAAGCAAATTCCTGGAGGCCGCAGAGAGCTTGAAAGGTTGGTGCTGCCCGCCTTGGGCGCTCAGGAGGACCCGGCAGGGGCGGGGCGGCGGTTCCTACCCGGGGCCTGGAGGATGGGGGTGACACCGGGATGGAGGTGCGGAGGACTGCGGGGGCCAGGCGTACTCCACACCTGAGGGAGGATGAACACCCTCCTTCCAAGGGAGGGGGCACAGGGCCCTGGCGCCTTGAGGATGGGGACAGAGGAAGTGGGGGGCTGACTGAGGCCTCGGGGATCAGTTGTTGGGGAGATGGCCTTGGACAGGAAGGCACAGGAGACCCCTACTGGGAACCATGTCTTAGGACTGGACGAAGGGAGAATGGGGGGGGGGAGAACCCGATGTGTGTGGGGGCGGCACATGTTGAGGTGGTGAATCCAACAACCTTGGTGGGATTTTGGGGGGAGGGTGTCACCTAAGAGTTCTGCTGGAAAAACCCGAGAAATGCTAACTTGGCTAGTTCTATTTCTGGCTACCTTTTCCCACGACTTGCCTTTTTCAGCTGGGTGACACCATCCCACTTGTTTAACCTGGAGACAGTCACTAGACGTGACAGCTTCCTGGCCTCTGCAGCTACCCTCTGGTCGCAGGTGGGAGAGCCCCAGGGTGCCTGACAGCCGACCGATCCCCAAGGACATGTTCCCATTTGCAACTCACCCTCCCTTCCATCTTTTTTTGCTGTTTCCACTTATTGAGGGCCTGATGTGTCTGGGCACTAAGCTGGGCAACGAAGGTATTGGGTGTTAACTGTGTGACCCCAGCTCTCAAGAAATCAATTCTAATGAACTCCCAGAGGAGTAAGCAGACAATATAAATGCTATCATTTAGGTGCCTGTAGGCATTAACGGGGCTCAGAGCTCCTGACCCAGGCCGTGGATGGTAGATTTAGGGGGGAAGTTTTTCTGAAGAAGGTGGCATTTGTGGCCAACCAAAAACAAAAAAATGGAGCAGTTTACCTCTCCAGGTCTCAGGAGCAGCATGAGCTGAGGCACGGAACCGTGACGGTGTATGATCTTGGTGGCCAGGGCAGAGGTGGTGAGTGTGGAGGAGAGGGACAGGAGCCAGAGGGGCCTGCACAGGTGGGCAAAGGTCAGACCATGAAAGGGCTTTCTGTGCCCTTGCAGGCCCTGGGGAGACCCAGCCTCAGAGTCACTGCGAAAGCCCAGTGTGAGGAGAGGGGCCGACCTGGAGTCAAACTAACAGCTGATTTTCAGTATGGCTTTCTTTAATGCTTCCTTATAGTATGAAAGTACAATTTAGGCTGCGTTGCGATGCTGTTCCAGATACACTTTTTAGCAGCTAAGAGAGAAAGAGAGAACAGCTGGTCTCCTTTCCCAAGGGTAGTCAAGGGCTTTCCTAGCTACTGCTTACTTAGTTTCTGGAGATCTTATCAGATTTGAACAAATCAAGGAAAGATTTTTCACTGCATATTTTTAATAAGGGGAAATTGAGCTTATTAAATAGCCCTTGAGTTAATAACATGCACCAGGGTGAGGAGAAAAAAAACCAAAGTGTTTAGTTCCCTTAAATATCTCAGGGAAAGCCTCTAGCTACTCCCTTCCCCCCACTAGAATACAGCTAATCTAAGAGTGTAATTTTGTAGTCTTGTGTTATGTTGCTCCAAGGTCTCTCTGAATTATAAGCAAAAAGGCAAGCAAATATTGTGACTGTAAACCTGTTATAGAGGCCCCAGCCCTTTTTACTCTCAAGTCTTGTTACTAAGGAACAGGGGAGTCCCAGCAGTTCCAGATCCCCCTCGCCCATCAAGTAAAGCTCTGCCCTGATAGGGACAGCCCCTCCCTGGGTCTCCCCAGAGCAACCCTGAGGTCAGAATTTCCTGAAGACTTTAATCAACACAAAAAGAATAACATTTAGATAAAACAAGAAGCAGAAAAATAGAGTCCAGGTTTCTTCTCCCTCTGCAGCTATCCCCTCTCCCCCACCGCTCCCTCCCTACCTGACCTGAACACCTTGTTTCTAGCTGCCTGGTCTAGCCCCAGCAAAGGTGTCACCTGACTGCCCCATGCAAGGGGGCTGGTGTCAGGATCAGCTATGTGACTCACCAGGAGCCCCACTCAGCTTGGGTTTCCAGACCAGAAAAAATGAAATAGCCAGGCTTCTGCGGGGTCAATAGTGAGACACACTTTGACCCTTTAGAGTCTTCCCACAGTTCCTAAAGTGACCCCCATGGGATTGTTCTTCCTCCTTGGTCTCCCCAACTTGCCTCTGCCCCTCTGGTCCCCCTGGCTTATCCTCACTGGATGAATCACTCTGAAACGCTGCTCTTATTTCAGTCCCCTGGGCCAAACCTCCTTCCTGCTGATGCTTCAACTTCGCTTTGCAAAGCCATCACGCCCTGGGGTTCCTCTTGTCCTCAACATCACCCCCACCTCCCCAACAAGCTTTCTGTGTCACCACACCTCAGAAATGCCATAATCAGTCCCACCTCATCTTTGCTCCAACTGTGATGCCACCTGGAACACCTCTGTCTGCTGCTCCACCTGTGCCAAGCCTTCCTGTCCTTCAAGGCCTAACGTAGACTGGGAAGCATCCTCTGAGCCCTGCAGCTGCTCTTCTGAACCTTTGGCTAGAGCCCTAAACTGTGTGATCCACATCCATCTGTTCCTGCTTTGACATGGAACCAAACCTATTATCTGTGCCACTAATTTTAGGCCCTTCTTTTATGATTGGTGTGTGTTAGTGTCTGATGCATTTCTCAGTTCCCCAGCAGAAGGAGCCATATTTTAACCCTTTATACCATCTTCTCCATAGTTTATAGCACCTAGGAGGTGCTTGGTAAATCTTCTCCAGGGTGAATTGAAGTTTAAAATCTATGTATGATTTGGAATATTATATTTACTAGAGCACACCATTCCCTGACTGTATATTAAAATAATAACCTCAGAAAAACCTCAGCCCAGAGTTTCACTGACTGTTTCAGAAATCTTCAGCAATGGTGAAGTTTTATCAATTCATACACAGTCATTATATACCCACCAGTAAAAAGCGCAGAGCTGGAGATGTTTAATTCCCTTGGGAAGGTGTAGAACCAGCCAAGGTGATGGAGAGAGGAAGCAGATGTCCTGGAAAATAGGAATAATACAAAACATTTATAAAAGCAGACCTTCAGGTGGTCTTGGGCTGCCACCAATTTTGGTGACTGTGTAGAAGGAAGAGGGGAAGTAGAAATCAAAACCTAAGGCTGCATGTCCACGTGGTGGCAGGTGGGACCAGAGCCATGCGGTTTAGCTGACAATGCTTCTGAGTTTCCACTGACCCCATTGCTGAGGGGATGGACTCTGGCCCATAGGCAGAATTTAAAGTTATGTTTAGAATGATTCTGGCTTGGGTTTTTTATGTGGGGTTGTGTTTTTTTTTTTTTTTGCCACCAATTATGTGGGCATTTCCTAAAAAAGAGTTTGACTTTGGTAAGCAAAGCACTGGCTTTGATGGTATAACGACGTTGCCTCTGAAAAAGTCGAGTACTGTGAGAAGCAGTGGACCAAGTCCTGTTTTAAAGTCCCTGAAGTCAGGATTTGGGTTTTCCTTTGATTAATTTCTGTAGGCCTTACATCAAACCATTCTAAACCAGAGGGCAGCAGACAGGAGGATACCAGCCAGAGAAATAAGATGCATTTGAAACTGTTAACCCACCTCTGTGGAAGGAAGGTAGGGAGTGTCCTCAGTGGAGTATAACTCACTCCTGCCCCATGAGTTCTCAATCTGTGCTTGGCATGGTGCGTGAGAAAAACAGGCTCATATCTCTCCACTTTTCTCCAGTCCCCTGTAACCGCTTCATTACTGCAGTAGATGCTTCAATAATCGCCGTCTCACACCCCCTAATCCATTCCTTGCTACGTCATGACCCGCGGGGTGAAGACTTAAGTCCTTTACACGGCTCACTAAGATCTTCGTGATATGACTCCTACTTCCCTCTCCAGGCACAACTTCCAACCTCCCACCTCGCTACACTCCAGCTATTTTAAAAGCATGCTTTGAGTTCCAGGGGTGTGCTCTGTTCTCTCTCGCCTCTAGGCCTCTTTATGCTAGTGCCTTTAGAATGCCTGGTCCCCAAACCCTTCCCCTTATCTATGTTCTCTTCATCCTTCAGCTCTCAGTTTAAACATCACCTCCTTAGGAAGCCCTCTTTGACTATCCCCAAAATTGGGCTGGGACCCCCTGGCTGCTCCTATAGTTCTGCCTGACAGCCTTGTCTCCCATGGGTGTGTGCTCTTTGAAGCCTGAATCTCTGCCTTGTATCCCCAGAGCCTAGCACAGTGCCTGGCACATAGAAAATATTTAAACAGTATTTATTAAATGAAAGAGCATGAAATAAATGGTTAGCGATGAATGTTTTTGTTTCCTCCCAGAGCATCTGTAGTTTAACCAGTGTCTTAAGAAACCTGATGCCTTCACCCAGGAGAAGGGATCAATGCCAGCGATGGAGGAGGCTGAGAAAGCATCTAGCCCAGTTGTCCCAAACCACCGGGCATCAGAACCACCTAGGGAGTTTTTAAAAACACAGATCCCCAGGCCCTGGCTCCATTCACGAGCCAGAAAGCTGTATTTGTAAAAACTCTCCAGAAGATTCTGAGGCAGACATTTAACAAATACTTGGAAACCACTGATTGAGCCTAGCTTCCTCTTTTTTTACAAAAAGGAAGACTGAGACTAAGACAGGTTAAGTGATGTACCCAAGGTTGTCCAGCTCATAAGTAGCACAGCCTGGAATGAAACATCTCTTGATCTCAATTCCAGCTGCAGAAGCCTCAGTCCCTGTGGCAGGCCAAGGGCAATGGGTAGGGGGGCCTTCAAGAAGGAACTCCCGTTGCCCCAGTGAGGTGCTGCCCACGTCACCTTGGCAGGCTCCGCTGTCCATCCGTGTGGTCAGCTCTGACTCCCACCATGGAGTCTAATATAAATCTGTTTTGAAGCATTTGTAACTTTATGCTGCTTTTCAGAAAAGAAGAGGGCAAAGGTACCTGAACAGCCCACACCTCCCATTCAGGAAGAACCTGAGCCTATTAGCAATGTCCTACAAGGAGATGACATTCTTGCCTTAGCCATTAAGAAGGAAGACTTGAAGAAGGTAAGAACGAAGTCCCGGGATCCCTTCCTGCAAAAACTTTTCTTTTCCAGCCTGTGTGTTCTAGAACATCAACCATGTCCTCCATCTCTACCGCCTCCCTCCTCATAGGGAGTGTCTGATTCCATGGAAAAATCCATTGGACACAAATTCTTTTCACTTCTGCAGCTAAAGGAATTTACTGTTTGTTTTAACATTCCTGAGATTCATATAGAACCACAGGGGAATGAGACGGTGAGGTATCTTGCTCCCCACGGAGGCAAGAGACATCATCCCCATTTCACAGAATGGAAAAATGAGTTTAAGAAGCAAAGCTACAGATGTGGATAAAGCTGCTAATCCCTAACCCCAGGCTTTACCTGGAAGAGTCAGGCACTTCTCACCTGAACTGTCTGGAGGCATAAGATGTTTGTTTTTAAATCCTCACCAAAGGATATGTTTATTGATTTGGGGGGTGGGGGCAGGTAGAGAGAGAGAGAGAGAGAGAAACAGCAGTGTGAGAGAGAAACATCGATTGGTTGCCTCTCCTACGTGCCCCACCTGGGGATCGAACCCGAAACCTAGGTATGTGCCTTGACCTGAAATCGAACCCACAACCTTTTGGTGTAGGGGACAGCACTCAGCCCACTGAGCCACGAGCCAGGGCATAAAATGTTATTTTCCCTGCTCCAGGACATTATCAAGTCTCATGTCTGTTGCATAGGCGTTTCCTCGACAGAACACATGGACAGAGCTAGAGAAACAGATTTGTCAGCCTTCAGGAATTCCACGAAGACTGGGGACAGGAGATGGGTGGTGTTTTCCCTCCTCCAGATCGCAAGTGGAATTCTCCTCTGTTTTCTTTTTAGCAACACATTCCTCGCTTTATTAAAGCAGAAGATAAACCTGTCATTACCCAGAAACTTACCATCCGTAAACTCAAACCCAAGGATCCTAGGAGGAAGGTCTGCCACTTTGTAGCACATCCTACCACTCCAGATGCAACCACGAAGCCCCTGGACTACTCTGGTATGCCCAGCCCTGGCCCCGGCATCACTGGTCTCTGAATTCATGGGTCAGCCTTGAAAGACAGCGGGGTCTCCATCAGAAAGCAGCCCCCTTGAATCGTTTACATTCTCTAGCTACAGCTTGTCTTTCCCCTCCTCTTTCCTCCACCCAGGTCCAGGTGACAGTTTCTGTAGCGGTAACCAGATCCTGCCTCACCACATCTTGGGAAGTCTCCAGGACTTCAGGAGAATTGCAGTTGCTCAAGGGAACACCCAGGTCCGTTTGTACAGAGCTGCCTGGACAAGAGAAGTCACTGAAGTCATTTCAGTCTCACACCTGGCAGAGCCAGGCAGACCTGGGGTTAAAAAGACAGTCCAGTCTCTGGGTCCTGGGGGTCTGAATTGATAAGTGACCCTCCCCCAAATAGTGACAAGGACTTAAGCTAGTTTCAGCTGATGTCAGAAAGTCTCTATAAGGATTTGGAGGTGCCTCAAGGAACTCCCAAGGCAATAGTGTGTCTGGCTCTGTTAGACTGAGCCCAGAAAGGCATCAGGGCTCCAGGCCTATTCTCCCTAATCGCCTTCTGCTCCTCTGTCCTGCTCTCCTGGCCGCTCACAGCTCCCAGGGCCACAAAAAGTCAGCCCGTCTCTGACTCTCCCATCATGCAGTGCTGCTCCTTCTCGCAGTTCCTCAGCTTCTCTGCTTTCAGGCAAAGAATCTCATTGGTTAGGGGCTAAGAGGCCTGAGGTCATATAAAAATGGCTCAGTCATCCTGCAGGCAAAGGTGTCAATTAACATCAGTTGTAAGACAGACACACGGACAGATTTTGAACATGATCTTAGAACAGAGGTCCCCATTCTGGGGGGGAGGGGACTGACAGTGGTTTCCAGGGCCCCCTGGTTCTGTGATTCGTTTTCTGTCACAACCTTAGGGTCCTAAAGAGGAGGGATCCTCGGCAGAGAGGGAGGACAGCAGGGATTCAGGCCTAGAGAAATCTCAGGTCATCCCCAGTTTATCGCCTCTCACCACCCTGCGCACGCTTCTGTTGTACTTTTCAGCTGGCTGAGCTGATACACACCCTTCCCTCTATGAAGAGCACCCTCATCTCAGCTACAGAAGAGCTGAAGCAGAAAGCACCCAAAGAAGAGAAGGCACATCCCTGGGCCCCGCCTCCGCAGCACAACTTTATGAAAAACTGGCAGCGTAACCTAGCCCTGTGGAAGAGGCAGCGGGAGGCCCTCAGTGGTGAGCAGAGAGGCCTCATGCGGCACCCAGGCCCTGCTGCTGCTGTGCATTTTCCAGCGCCCGTCCAGAGGTGGATTCAGGCCGAGCACATTTGTGCCATTCACTCCCTCCCCAGTGTTTCTCACTTAGTGGGTCCTGAAATCAGCCCAGTGCTGAGTGCTGAGCCCCTGTTTGTGCTGACTCGGTGGAGAGGCTGCATTCTTGGCTGTTCTCTCTAGAAAGTCTGAAGAAACCTGTCGGCGAGCTGCTGATGCACATCGGGGAGACCTACAGACAGATCCGGGAGGAGCAGGAGCTCATTGACCGAGCGCTGCCGACACAGCACGATGGGAAGGCAAGGACAAGGACGGCATTCCCAAAGGGCCGTGTGAGGAGGTTGGACGCCGAGATGGCTGCCTCAGTTTGCACATTGGGGGACAAAATCTATCCATTGCAAAGCATTGTTAAGCCCTGGAGGCCTTTACCAAAATTACATCATTGGTCCTATTATTGGGCATTCAGGGACTGGCCAGTTAAGGAATTCAGCCTGTGCTGGTCACTGGTAGTGAATTTGAGGAGAAAGATAGCACAGGTGCTGAGTTATTACAATAGTCGTAGTATTCTCTCTTAAGTGCTGAGGCTCCAGCTTTTGGACAACCCAGGGTCCCATGTTGTGTCTGGTATGTCCGTGCAGTGTCTGTACCACCCACACTGCCTGGGGCCAGATAAAGGCTACGAGAGGGCGTCCTGAGAACAAGAAAGTGCGTGCTTCTCTCCCGCTCTCCTGGCTGCAGCGAATCCCACGAGCGAGCACCTGTGGTCTCCCAGGCCCCCCACCAGCCCTTCTCCAAGGTGTCCAGGTGATCAGACTGCCTGTCCTTTCTTGCCAGTGCTCTGCGGAGACCAGCGGGTTCTGGAGTCGACTAGAATACTTGGGAGATGAAATGACAGGTCTGGTCATGACGAAGACAAAAGCTCAGCGTGGCCTCCTGGAGCCAATCACTCGCATCAGGAAGCCTTACTCCATCCAGGAGGAGATGGGTGAGGAGCGGGGCACCTGGTGACTGCCTAGGAGGGGGGGCAGCGTCCCATAACCTTACGGAGGTCCAGTTCCCTCTTCTGTAAGACAGTCATATATGGAAGAGGTGGCAGAAGAGAGTGGGACAGAGGCTCTAGGGCAGTGCCGTCCAGTGCAGCAGCCGTGAACAGCTGTGGCTGCTGAGCACCTAAATATGGCTAGTCTGAACGGAGATGAGCTGTAAGTGTAAACTACACACTGATTCGTATGAAAAATATATTGTAGTAATAATTTTTATATTGATTACATGTTGAAATGATAATGTTTTGATACAGTGGAGTAAGCTGTATTACTAAAATTAATTCCCCGTTTTTTTTTTACCTTTTTCAACCATCTAGACAATTTTCAATTATGTGCTTCCCATTTGTGGTTTGCGCAATATTTCTATTGGGTAGCACTGCTTTAAAGGCTGCCAGGCTGCCTACTTTCAGAGCAAGCTATTTGGCCTCTCTGGCCCTCACTGTCCACATCTAAAATACTGAAGGGACTGGGAGAGGGTAAAAGGAAGCATGATGTATAGTAAGAGGTTCTGGCCCGTTGTTAAACACTCAATAGAAGGCAGCTGCTATTGTTTTTGTCACCATCCAACGATTTGATGGTTTGGAAGCTCGTTTCACTGGAGTCCTGTGTGGGATTGCTGAGGCCATAGGAATGGGGCAGGAGGACTGGAGCCCAGCTACACAGGGAAGCCGTGTTTCCCCCTTTCCCAGAAATGCTGCTGGGATGGATGTGTCCAGAGCCCGTGAGAGTGAGGGGAAAGGGGCACGCAGCAGCCTGTTCTTAGGGTCCTTGTACCCTGCTGCAGGATTGCTGGCCCGGAAGGATGCTTGGTACCGCTACACCTGGGATCGGAGCCTGTTTCTGATCTACCGACGCAAGGAGCTGCAGAGCGTCATGGCAGAGCTGGATTTTAGCCAGCAGGTTGCTAGTACCTCTGTGCCCTGTCTGAGGCCCCTTAGGGTGGCACCTGTCTTCAGTCAACTAAACTTTCCTTTCTTTGTCTCTCTGAGGATATTGATGGCCTAGAGGTGGTGGGCAGAGGGCAGCCCTTCTCAACTGTTACAGTGGAAGACTTTCCAGTGTCTGAAGAGAGCCAGAAAAGTTCCTCTGAAGACACAGTGAACTTGTGAGTCAGGCCCCGGGCCCCAGGGAGAGAGGTCGGGGAGTGGACAGTGTTAAAGGACAGGTTTCCCTTCCTGAAATCAGGGTGCCTCCATCCCAGCCTCTCATAGTGGCTGCCACTCCCTCCTCGAGCCCGTTCCAACACCTGTGCTAGCTTCCCTGCAGCCATCTGTTCCCTCCTAGCACCCAGCTCCTAGTGGGGATTTCCCAGACCTCCCTTCACTGGTAAGTGGGGCTGCTGCAGATGCTCCACTGTGCACACTGACTGCCTCAGCAAGAAGAGTCCCCATGTGTCCAAGAACCTCCCACCTATAGGGACAGAGCAACACTGAGCTGACCTCCGGTGGAGCTGATGATACTCCATCAGAGACAGAGCAGGGTACCTCTCCAGACTCTCTGGCAACCATGCCGTGGGCTCCATGTGGTAAGACTATGGCAACTTCAGGGAAAATACATCATTTTAATTTTTTTTACAGAGATGTATTGACCGGTTTCCCTGATGCAGCTCCCATGCCTATTCTTGGCCCTTCTCTGCTGTTCTGTGGGAAGCCGGCCTGCTGGATCAGAGGCAGTAATGCCCAGGACAAGGTAAACCAGCCTTTACTCTCACCCATCTGCTGGATAGGCCTCCCTTGGGTGCAGTCTCAAGGTGACTGGCAGTCACAAGGAGCTCGCAGTCTCCTACTTGCCTTTTTATCTGGTCTTGCATTCAGCGCGTCTGAAAATGGTAACAGCGACACTAGCTTGAGCCAGAATAAAGTCACAAGGCTGAAAAGAAAGTGTCACACTCCACTCAGTCTGTATCTAGCCCTCAAGCATATAAATAAGCAAACTTCTCAAACTGGTGTGGCTCTAAGAAGGTTCTAAAATATTCTTCAGATGCTAAGGAGCAGAAATGTTCATCAGATATAAAATCTGTTTTAGCTTCTCTTCTTACTGTTGATGGCACCTCAGGGAGAGCCACTATTGGGGTATGACACCACTCTGTCTGAGAGAGGCCAGGCCCTGGAGGCCCAGGACACAGGACTTTCAGTGTCAAACCCAGAGACGTTCCTGGCAAGCCAGGATGCGTCGGTCACCCTAGGCCAGGGCCTCCCTCAAAGACGTTTCTCAGAACGTCTCCTCCTTCCCCAGAAGCATGTTGGAATTGCTGTCCGCTTGACCTTTGAAACTCTAGAAGGGCAGAAAACATCTTCGGAACTGACTGTGGTCAATAATGGCACAGTAGCCATTTGGTATGACTGGCGGCGGCGGTCCCAGCTGGACTCTCTTCAAGACCTGAAGAAGAACAGGACACAGCGGTTTTACTTTAATAATCGGGAAGGTACGTAGGAAAAGTGGCCCTACTCCCCTTGATGTCCGAGAAGCTAAAGTCTAGCCAGTGCTCTGCCTCCTGAATGTTTAAGCCCCTCTTCCCTGCCTCCTCCCTTTCATTTCTTCTGTGGCAGTGTGATCTCCTGACTCCTCATGTCTATTGGGGGCGGGGAGGTGAGCCACTGGGGAGCAGAAGCATTCTAGGAGTTCAGTTAACTGTTACACAGGTGTGAGGCTAGGATGACCAGCTGTGCCTGTTTCCAGGGGCTTTGCCATTTCAGCACTGAAAGTCCCACATCTCAGGAAAACCCTCAGTCCTGGGCAAACCGGGATGGTTGGTCACCCTCCCTGGGGCTCAGTTAAATGTATCTGCATAGGCTTAGGGCTCACTTAATTTTGGACATGCAGGCTTGGAGGTCACTGAGCTCCTTGGTGCAAATCTCCATCTCTGCCCTTCTCAGGTGTGATTCTGCCTGGAGAAACGAAAACTTTTACCTTCTTCTTCAAGTCTTTGAATGCTGGGATCTTCAGGGAATTTTGGGAGTTTGCAACTCACCCCACCCTGTTAGGAGGTTCTTCCCTGCAGGTCAATCTCCATGCAGTCTCCCTGGCCCAGGACATTTATAGGGATGAGAGGAAGTTACTGGAGGTAAGGGAGCCCGGACCTTGGCCCCTGTGGAAATCAAATAGGTTACTCAGGTGTGCTTCCTAGCTCTGCCTGCAGGGGTCTTCTTTCTCCCAGCTACTCTTGCTCAACAAACACTTCTCAGGACTTTGTGATATAATAGATGGGTGGGCAGGCAGGAGGAGGGGCAGCTTTGAGCTCCATGTGCCTGGCTCCCACCCCCAGAAAGAGATGAGACTGGGCCTTTAGATGCAGACAGTGTGGAAGTGCTTGAGCACAAACATAAGGAATGACCCTGCACCCTGGTACTGTGTCTGTTCACTGCTGTCTGGTACCCTCCAGTGGAGTTGCATTTACCTGGCAAGACTTCACAACCAGGCAAAACCACAGAGAGCAATTCAACTGGTGGGGCCAGCACCCAGGAGTGAGTGTGAGGTGTGAACTGGGAACCTGCTGGGCCCCTATCAGGCCCAAAGCCTGGCCATCTAGTGCTGCACTTCATCATTGAAAGCTGTGCTGCTTTATTCACTGTGGTCCCCAAACACGAACCAGCTACTTCAGCCGAGGCTCAGCCTGCGGTGATCAGAGATAATTTTGACAAATGCAGTGTCTGCTTTACTTGCTAGTATAGGACTGGCCTCTCTCTCGAGATGACCTTGTTTCTGTGATGACTGTGTGGCCAAATCACAGTCTCAGCACGGCCCAAACCACACTGCACCTGGCCCTGGCCCCACAAGGGAGCAACTTCTCTGAAAATGGTTCCTCCTTGGGATCTTATCAGCCTCTTCTAGGGAACAAGGATTTGGGGGGCACCCAAGGAGTTCTGGGTCTGGGAGTAGTTTTGTGTGTGTGTGTGTGTGAGAGAGAGAGAAAGAGAGAGAGAGAGAGAGAGAGAGAGAGAGAGAGAGAGAGAGACTGAGACAAACAATGGCAAGAACTCAACCCCTAGGAGGCACAAAGTCCTGAGGGATCTGGCTCCCCTCTGGGATGCAACATGGGTTTTAAAAGCCTGAGCTGCCGCCTTGTGCCACCCTTTCTACCCCAGAAAGAGCTGGCTTCCCACGAGGCAGTCACCATTGTGCAGAGCATGCTACAGGAGCTGCTGGAGGGGATCCTGACCCCGGAGCGTGTCCCATCACCCGTGGACACCTATCTCACGGAGGAGGACTTGTTCCACCACAGGAATCCTCGGGTAAAGGCCCAGCACTGGCCCCTGCCCCTCGTGAGTGCCCCGGGTAGAAGGAATAGCAAGCCCTCCGATGTGCCAGGACCTGTTTTGAGAGTGCATCTTCTATGAGTAACTCGCTCTCCCCTCCCAGCAGCCCTGTGAGGTGGGCACTATTTCTATCCTCACTTTACATAGGGGCAACTGTGGCCCAGGGAGGTTAAGTAATTTGCCCAAGATAACAGCCCCTAAAATGGATGCTTGGTGAGAACTGTTTCACAGACTCCTTCATCCAAACCCAGTATTACTTGGAAGCTCACAAGCAAAAGAAATGCTTGACGTTGGAGATGCTCAGGTTGAAGGGGAAGCGGGGAGGCCCTCTGGCCACAAGCACTCCTGCTGGCTTCCTCCCTGCCTCCTCCACCAGTGCTCCTGAGGGAACAGGAAACCAGAGCAGGTTCACGGGCTCTGGGTGCCCCACGCCAGCCTCCCCGTCACGTGCCCTCCCTTGCCTCTGCAGCTGCATTACCAGTACCAAGTGGTGCAAAACCTGCATCGACTGTGGCACCAGCACATGATCCTGCCCTTCAAGACCGAGGAGGTCAGGCCTGCAGAGGAGGAGCACGTCGGCCCCAGGATCAGGGCCACCAGGACCCAGTCAGGCTATTTGGAGAAGGCCCCACTGAAGGCCGAGACTTTCACACACTCTCGGACCCCAGTCTCGGAATCCCAACCAGCCAGGCAGGACAGTATGTACCTCAAGGACTCCCAAGATTCTTTCAGGTCCCAGAAGACCAGAGTAGGGACCAAGAGTTCTCAGCGGAAGAGCATCATGGAGGAGATCCTGGTGGAGGGGAGCCGGGATGTGGAGAGCGCCAAGAGTGCCAAGAGCCCCTGGGAGCTGCAGGGCCTTCCCTCGCTAGAGTGGAACCTCAGCCTGGAGGACTTCAGAAAGGTGCTTCCTTGACCCTGATGGGGTGGGTGGGAGAAAATAGCTCTGGCACAGCTGGGTGAGGGAGGGCTCCAGCAGTGCCTCTTGTCCCCATGGACAAAGAAGTGAAACCTTCTCCCAGAGAAAGCAGTCTCTTGGGTCTTCTTTTGTCTCAGGTGCCTAGGCCACTGTGGTACAGGAAGGGGTCCTTCTCTGACCCTGGCAAGCCTTGGAAAAGGGATTTGTGGGAACAGATTTCTGAGGGAGGTCCCAGGCTCCCACCAAAGGCACCCCAGACAGCTTCTCCATGGCTGTATCCCCTCCTTCACACCTGTCCTCACAGCACCCGTCACTAGAGGACACAGGGGCCCTTAGTGTCCTTGGCAGAAGGGTTGCTCATGGTACCTGTGAACCCTGCCAGGCAGTGATGACACTCCCTGAGGAGAACCAGAGAGAAGACGTCCTAATCACACTTAACAAAGCAGCCCTGGAGCTGTGCCAGGGACAGAGGCCACTGCAGTCTGACTTCCTGTACCAGATGTGGTAGGTACCCCACCAGGAGAGCTGGCCCCATCTCCTCCCTTGGTGGCACCTGACCAGAGGTTCTGAGCAAATAGTCCCAAGACTCAAGGGAACTGAGCTCCCCTTGAGCTCTGATTGCTAAAAGATTGCTGCAAACATTCTATGCCTGGGGAGGGGGAGAAAACAAAAACAAAAAACACATTCCATGCTTGGCACCTGCCACGGCAGCCCCTACAGCCACCTGCTGCTCCCTGCGGAGCAGTCACAGCAGAGGAAGCACCTAGACCTTTATTTTTTTCTCTATCCTTGTTCCTTCTCAATGAGCAGAGGAATGAACAGGAGAAACCAGAGGGCGGTGAGAAGAGGGGCATATTCCACAAAAAGCCTCACTTCTTGGTTGTCAGCCTTCCTGTCGCCTGTTTGGAACTTGCTTGGACAGGCTCAGAGGGGATAGGTATTTGCAAGGCCCTCAGAACACCTCCCCGAGAGCCTCGCGCTGGAAATATCATGCAAGGTCCAGTCATGGTTTCAAGCTGGAGTTTCGACTGACCTAGCCCTAGGCCCAGGTGACTTTTCCTTGGCTGAAACCAGATTTCCAGCTGAACATTTGCACAGGTGCTGGTGAGCATGCTGGCTGGATAGGGGCACAGCATTTCCGTGGCAGCTCCTGGCACCAGTGTCTTGGAAGGGAAGGATCCAAACCTCTGTAGGTTCCAGGGCAAATAAAGGGTGATGGCTTTTCTCCACTGTGTCTTGGCCCCTAGCTTGCAGCTGTGGCGGGATGTGATCGACAGCCTGGTGAGCAACTCCCTGTGGCTGAGAGCTCTGCTGGGCCTGCCTGAGAAGGAGACCACCTATTTGGACATGCCAGAAGAGCTAGGTCAGACTCTGCACAGCCATGCCTGCACATAGTCTCCCCCATCCCACTGCCTCAGCCTCTCGCACCCCTCTGGTGGAACTTCTGTTGATCCATGGAGTAGGCCCCTGCTACCTTTTTACCTGTTGCCAAGATTTGGAACCCAGAATCAACCTTAGTATCACCTTGGTTCACTTCCCTCATTTTACGTATGGAGTCCCAGAAGGATTAAAGGATTTGCCCATGCCATACATGGGGAAGTGGTGGAGCTGGGACTAGAACCAGTCCTCTTGCGCCTGCCCCACAGTCCTGTTCCACAAGGCCACGCCACCCCCAAACCAGGGGCTCTGCTCCTAGCCTGTGGGAATTTTCTCAAAGCTGCTGAGAGCGCTTTGCTTTTCCCGACTCTTGCCTGTGGGGTCAGCTAGGCCACAGGCTCCATTCTCTTCCATTCACCTCCCACAGATCGAAAATCACCTTCTGTCATGGAAGCGAAGGTGACTTCCGGGAGAGCTGGGAAGGAGGACCGGAGAGGGGCAGGCCAGGAAAGGAAGCAGTTGGGAATCAAAGACAAAGAAGATAAAAAAGGAGCCAAGATACTGGGGAAAGAGGCATGCTATGCTCTAGGACATGGTCTGGCCTGGGCCGGGGCTGTGGGGGACACCAGAGAGGCTTCAGAAAGTCCCTCCTGCTTGCTGCCCCCGCTGTCTCGGTGAGCTGTGGACCTCCTTCAGGAGCCACCGAAGACTATGCATGTCTCATGTCTCCAAGCAGGACCGTTTAAACAGCAGGAAGTACAAGACAAAGGATGACAAGAAACCTATGAAATCTTCAAGTCGGGACAGGCTTTTCTCAGAAGACCCCACCCCTGACAGCACCACCGCTTCTCAGGAACCCATAGATCCCCTGGTCATGGAGAAATACACCAAGAGGCTGCACACCGAGGTGAGGGCAGCAGAGCGCAGGGCTCAGCCCACCCCTCCCTCATACCTGCCCTGCACACTTTCCTCCGCTCGCTCATTCATCCCATTTGTTCTACGAATGATAAGTGCCTACTGCACCCTGATGGAAGCAGAGCTGCCCTTGTGAAGGGCATCCTCGTGTGTGAGACAGTATCACATCTGGTATGCTAGGGGGACAAGGAAGGTCCAGGTGGGGCGGGTGGGCCTCATCGAGATGGTGACATTGAACAGAGACTTAAGGGAGGTGGGGGTCGGCCATGTGGACCCCTGAGGAGGAGTGCCCTAGGGAGAGGAAGCAACTGATGCAAGGGGAGGGAGTAGCCAGGAGGACAGAGGGCAGCGAGGCCACCCAGAGAGAACAGATCATGTGGTCATGTGGGGCTTGGTAGGCCATGTGAGGACTCAGGGTTTTTCTGAGTGAAACAAGAAAGCATACAGGGTTTTGAATAGAGATGTGACATGGTCTGACTTATGGTTTAGAAGATCAGTCCCTCTGACTGCTGTTTGGAAAATAGTCCAGGGGGAACAGAACCGAAGCCCTTCCCTTTCTGCTGCTCCCACTTCCTCTCTGTGTCAGATGGCTTCTTGGTCAATGTGCTCCTTGGGGGAATACCACGTAGGGTGGATTTCCAGCAAGCATACGGGTTTTGAAACACCGGAGCAACTTCATAACAATGCAGTCTTAAGCAGTAGGTCCTTAGAAACTCATCCATGTGTTGGGTTGGGGTCTCAGTTATTGTTGCTGTCAGCTTCAGAGGGGAGGGCCACAAAGCCACATTCCATCTGTCAGTCTAATGTGGGCAGCTGAGTGGCTGGGATTACATCATGCATTGGGGTAACACTCTGGATCTCATTTGATCAGAAGCTCCATTTGCTGCTGGTGACATCACTGAGATTTCTGAATGTTGATGGCAAGTTATCATAGGTCTCTGAGAACCCATGCGGTGGACTTCCTTGGCTTTCTGAAATTAAGAATCAACTTGCTGAGGCTTGTGTGGTCCAGCCCCACTCAGGGAACAGTTTTGGAAACATTTCAGTATGTGGATCTGTGATCTTACAGGCAGGAAAGTTGGTGTCTGTGGGCCAGAGTAGGATTGGGCCATCTCAGGGACTGAGTGGGCACTGCTGCCGGGCACATGTGGCTCAGTTGATTGAGCATCACCCCATGCACCAGGAGATTGCCTGTTCAATTCCTGGTCAGGGCACATGCCGGGGTTGCAGGCTGGATCCACAGTAGGGGCACGCAGGAGGCAGCAGATCAATGTTTCTCTCTCTCTTCCTCCTCCTCTCTGAAATAAATAAAATCATTAAAAAAAATAAATAAAAATAAATGGGCACTGCTCCTTGGCCTCCCTAAAATTGCCCCTTTAACCATGCTGGGCTCCAGTGTCCCCATTTGTTCTAGGGGCCAGCGCAGGATTGCCTGCTCAGACTGGTTTGAAAAATATTGCAAAAAGAAAAGTTCTACAGAAATTCTCACCACTTTGGTTTTATCCCCTCTCCAGCTGTTCTCAGTGTGGTGTGAATATATCCACCCTCACAGCATGGTGAGTGCTCCCCTGTGTAGGTGTTTTCCATAGAGCAAACCTTTGCTTATGTTTGTCCTGTTCTTCCAGGTCTATGGGCTCCTGGACTCCCTGGTGACAGACCTGATGGTTCTGGCTGATGAGTTTAGCCCCATAAGGAATGTTGAGGAGCCTTTGCGTCTTTGTACTTGACTAATATGGCTCAAGCAGCCTTCTGGGCAACCAGTTAACAAACAAATCAATAAAGAACCTTTTAAGTTCCTACCATTTCCATCAAGCTTCACGTCTTGAATGCTGCATCTCAATGAAATCAGCTCATGGTCCAGGTCCTCCATGTCCCACCTGCACTCAGGTCTACCCCACCCTACCCTGTCCCAGTTCCTAGAGTCATCCAACAGGAGGAGAGAGACACACATCTGGGGAGGTGATGTGTGGGATGATGAACCTAAGAACAAGTTGGTAGCAGGACAAGAAATGAAGCAGATGATAGGACAGATAGCATCACCCCTCCTAGTTCCTGCCTCTGGCCTTTCTTGCCCCACACTTTTGGGGTAATGCTTCCTGGAGCCAGATCTTCCCTAAGTGTCATCACCAAGTATGACAAAGCATGAGACTAGGAAACTAGACCTCCTGGTACCTGGTTCCCTGAGATCCTCCCACTTCAGCTGGGTCCAAGCGTGCTGTCCCAGTGTCTGCGGATCACGATCACGCTCACCACACTCTTAACCCCTAGAGGCTGGATCCCTTTGTGCTCAGCCACGGTTATTATTCTGGATTCCAGTGCGTCATCTTCCTCCTCATGTCAAACCCTCTGGCCTCCTTGAGCCACTTTTCTGCCTTAAAACCAGCCTCTCGACTTTACCCTCCCTCCCTTGCTCAGGGAAATGTGAAGTGGGTAAGAAATGGCTCTTGGAAAGAAAGGTGCTCTTAGCTCAGTGTTGTAATTGTTTTCCGGCCTGGCTTCCTGTTACAGAGGGGGCTCTAGGCTCCCCGAGTTTGAAGAACAATTTTGCTAATGGTGGGCTTATTGCCTGAAGAACTGATGGAGCAGAGGTGGGAGTGGGAGGCTGGGGGAGTGGCCACAGTCTCCCACCCACTTGTCTTTGCATTTGGTGCTTCTGATAAGGACCTAGTGGGCCTCAAGCATCCTTCAGTTGAGACGGGGAGGAGGTTTAGAGAGAGCAGAGCACTTTGTGTTGGAGAGGCAGAGGAGGAGCTGTGCCTGCAGTCCTGTCAGGGCTGATGCCCCTGTCAGGGTGGCCAAGGGGGTCAGCTGGGAGCCCACAGTAGGCATTAACTGTACAAAAGGGCCAGCCCCAGGGAAAGGTCCTCTAAGCCCAGAGTGGGAGGAGGAAGGGTGGGTGGGTGTTGAGACCCCTAGCCCTGTTTCCTGTTGAGGAGGCAGGGGAAGGGTTAACTCACTGCAGGGTGGGAGTGGGCCCCCAGCACGGGCCCTCGATCCGCACTTCCTGGGGACTGCCCGCAGGCAAGCCTCCCGCCCACCTCTGAAGGTGCCGCCCGCCGGGCCAGCAGGAAGGGGTTAACACGCCCGGCGCTTCCTCCTGTGTCCTGTTACTGCTGAGGCAGACCTGCCCGGCCAGCTGAGCAACTTTCCTTCCGAGCGCTGCTTGCCGGCTGGGCATCCAAGAGACCAACGGGCAAGAGGCAGAGCTGCAGCCAGTCCTGGGGACCCTGCCGCGCCCTTCCGAGGGGTCTGCGCCTCCTGGGAGAGGGTGGGTCTCCGGGACAAGGGTCTGTGGTGGATGGCTCTGGGGTCGCTCCCGAAGCTGTGCCGTCCCCCCGCCGCGCAGGTCGGAGGGCCACTGCAGAGGCTGCTCGTGGTCCCGGGGCAGGGGCCAAGGGAGCCTGCACCAGAGGTAAGCTGGCCCCTCCCTGGCAGCGGTGGTACCCCAGTGGAAGGTTTGGGGCTTAGTCTACCTCCCAGGTTCCAGGGAAAGGGGTGAGGAGGGCAGGGTGGTGGAGTTGGCTTATTGCCTCAAGTGGCCCTCCCGCCTGCAGCCCCTCCCTCCCTGCTGGCCCCAGGAAGAAGCACTGGGGGCTTATTCCCCATCCTGGGACTAGCATCTTTGGCGGCATTCTCCACAGACTCCTGCTCCTCTCTACCAACCCCTTCTCAGCCCCCGATGCATCTTTAGGCTCAGGGCAGCCCCCGCGCACTCCAGTGCCCCCAGCTCACCACTGACATAAGCTTCGAGCCAGAGGGCACTCCCCTGTCCCTCGAGCAGCAAGAGTCGGGGCACTGCCACTCCCACCCACTGCTCCCCGCTGGACCTGATGGGGGGCAGGGGCCAGAGTTCGCCTTAGCAGAGGATGGGAGGGGTGCGAGCTGGTGGGGCAAGCACAGACTTTGGACAAACTCTAGATATCTGGGCTCTTTCTATCTCCCTGAACCCCCACGCTGGGGATCCCGTCTGCTCCTCAGCCCTGACAGGTCCCCCAATCCTCTGGGCCCTGGGAAGAGCAGTCCCCTGTAAAGTTCTCCTTGGGACCCTAATTATAGGAGAGAGCTGACCCCCTTCCCCAAGCTGGTCCCATCTCCTGCTGGCCCTTCTCCCATCCTCCCCACCCCCAGCGGATTCTTCCCCTCTCCCCTGCCCTCCTGCCTCTCCTGCCCTCCCCCCCATTTCTGAATTGGCCTCTCAGGCCCTGACTTCTCAGTGTCCTTCCCTCCACCTGACAGGGTCTGGCTCAAGGTCACTGCAGTAATTCCATACCGGGTGCCTGGCCACCACTGCCGCCACTGCTGCCTTATCGGCTGCTGGGTTTCTGTTTCACTCCCTTTTATTTCTGGGCATATTGTGTTCGATAAAACCCTTTGCTTGTAACACCGCTGGCAGAGCTCCCAGCTGCTCCCTCCCGCGTTCCTTCCTCTCCTCCACCCTCCCCTTCCAGCTCCCTGGGCCTCACCCTGCCCTCTTCTTCCTCCCTACCCTGTTCCCTTCAGATTTCAGGTGTTTCTGATCCCTCCCTTCCCCCAGCTCAGACAGAGGTGTGCAGAGAAGGCTCCTCCATGCCCACCTCCCTGGAGAAAGGTCCAGGCAGGGCTGCAGGGCCCACACCAAGGGACCTTCCCACTCCCCCTGGTTGGGCTGGAGGGCCCCGTAGAGCTCCTGCTGGAGTCACGAAGCCTGACTGGTTCTGCTGGTTTCAGTGGCCAGCACCGGGAGGGGCATGCACTCAGGGCGGGCTTTGGGGCACAATTATTTTTCATCTTGACTCCTGCCACCTGCCAGCCCACCAGTTAGAGAGGTAAAGACAGGTTTGAGTCACTAGTGAGGGGGAGGGCAGGAGTTAAACAAGTGTTGGCCCAGCGGCATCCCCTCAGAAGGCCAGCTGGACAGAAAGACAGCAGACAGAAGGTAGGCATTGCTTTCAGCCCACACTCTCCATCCCTCCGGGTCCTCCAGTGGCTGGGCGAAGCTCTCACTGGCACCTGAGCCCTAAAGAAAACTACCGAGGCCTGCGGGCCCCTTTGATATGAGCCCTGTGTTGCCAGAATTGGGTGGAGGGAGAATGGAATTTAGAGGTAAGAGGGTAGAACAAACTCCTTCTGACTCCTCCTGAGTCCCAAGGTAGAGTTGAGAGGTGCAGTCTCTATGGATGCTGGTACTGGTGGGGGTTCATTGGTGAAACTCTGCAGGTCCAGCGTGTGTGTGTGTGTGTGTGTGTGTGTGTGTGTGTGTGTGTGTGTACTCATGCCCATGTGAACCTATACCAGAGTAATGGTGATGGCAGGGGGACTCTGGTTTGGGTTTCTGGTAGGGCCCTGTGATAACATTCGTCTGATTTGGGCCTGGGTTTGCTTTCGGCAGATGGCCTGGTCGTGTGGCTATGGGGAGGGCATCAGGCTGGCCCTAATCCCCCTGCAGCTGGGATACCAGAGTTCTGCCATGTGCTTCAGGCCTTGGGGGCTTGGGGAGCCCAGACTGCCTTGCCCTCAAGGAGCTTATGTTCTGGCTGGGAAGGTGGGGCTGAGACAGTAAAGCAATCATATGAATGAATTACAAAACTGGTGACACTGACAATAAGTATTGAAATAGTCTTCTGGAGACCTAGGTGTTAGTCCAGCTCTGCCACCTACATGCTCTGTGACTATGGGCAAGCCATGTCCTCTCTCTGGCCTCAGTGCTCTTGTGTGTGTACAACGGGTGGAGGTGGATAGATCTGTTTGAGAGGCAGCCTCTCCCAATGCTCCTTCCTCTCTTGCACTGTCCCTCCTCCACTCCCACCTTGCTGGCTCACTCCTCCTCTCCCTTGTCTTCAGATCTCTGGTCTCAGCTCAGCCATCACCTCCTCTGGGGAGTCTCCCGTGATTTTCTTAGCTTGGGTACTCCTGTGCTTCTCTGCACTCCCACCTGGGCTGTGATTGTCTGTACCCTCTCAACTGGACTTGGGTGCGCCAGGACTTGTGCCCTGTGTCTGGCTCAGAGAAGGCCCCAGGAAATAGGTATTAAATGAATCAAGCTACAAAATTAACAATATGAGGAGAGGAAAGTGAGGACTGAGATGCTGGAAAGATCTTAAGCTAGATCCTGGCAGAAAGGGGAGGGGTAGTCAAGCAGAAGCTAGGCTTGTAGGCATTCCTGGGTGTTATTGTCTTGTCCCCCAATAAGGGCAAGGACTGTGGAGTGTGTCTGCCTGCTTTTATCCTGACTCCCCACTTACGAGCTCTGTGACCTTGGACAAGTCAATGGATCCTGCTCCAAGCTTCATTACCCCCTTTGCGAATGGAGATCATAACAGCATCTTTGTAGTGTGATGGTGAAGATAAATGAGCATGCAAAACTAGACATGCCTGCTAGTAATAAGTAAAATAAGAAAATAAAAAGTGCCTGCTGAAGGCTGTTCCTGGCAGCAGGGACACCCTGGGCAGGCCTTAAGTTGGTGACTGAGTGGCCAGTGAGGTGGGCCATTGCCCCTGAGTTGCAAACCCTCTCTTCCTCAGACCCATGTGGAACCCAAGGACGCAGCCGCCCTGCTGAGAGCACGGCGGCCCACCCTTGGAAACCGTGACCTCACGACGGTGGCCCTCGGCCCTCCACCTCCGGCTGGGGCGGGGGGCGCCCATCTCCAAGTCCCCAGCCATGACGACCTCAGCGCTGCGGCGCCAGGTGAAGAACATTGTGCACAACTACTCAGAGGCGGAGATCAAGGTGCGTGAGGCCACCAGCAATGACCCCTGGGGCCCGCCCAGCTCGCTCATGTCAGAGATTGCCGACCTGACCTTCAACACAGTGGCCTTTGCTGAGGTCATGGGCATGCTGTGGCGGCGGCTCAATGACAGCGGCAAGAACTGGAGGCACGTATACAAGGCGCTAACGCTGCTGGACTACCTGCTCAAGACGGGCTCTGAGCGGGTGGCCCATCAGTGCCGAGAGAACCTCTTCACCATCCAGACACTGAAGGACTTCCAGTACATCGACCGTGATGGCAAAGACCAGGGCGTCAACGTGCGTGAGAAGGTCAAGCAGGTGATGGCCCTGCTCAAAGATGAGGAGCGCCTCCGGCAGGAGCGGACCCATGCCCTCAAGACCAAGGAGCGCATGGCGCTGGAGGGCATGGCCATGGGCAGCGGGCAGCTGGGCTTCAGCCGTCGTCATGGCGAGGACTACGGTCACTCTAGGGGCTCCCCATCCTCCTACAATTGTGAGTGAGCCCTGGGTTCAAGGCTAGGGGCAGAGAGGTGGCCTGAGTTCCAATCCTGGCTCTATGACCTCAGAGGGACGTAATGGGGATTCAGTGAGCTAAGGAATGTAAGGTGTAAGGCAAAATGTCCTACACATAGTAGGAGCTCAACAAGTTAGCATAAAAAACAATGTTGGTATACATCTGTTGTTATTGTCAATTCACTGTCTAGTAGGACGGTGTGGTGGCAGAGGCACAGGCTCTGGAGTCCAGTAGCATCCCTTACTCTGCCCCTTCCAGGCTGTGTGATCAGGACAACCACCTCTATGAACCTGAGCTGGCTCATCCATTAAGTAGGGATACTCTTATCTACCTAGGTGGTTTGATGTGAGAATTAATGAGGCCCAGAAATGCCCTCAGCCCTTCGCCCAGACACATGGCACATGGTGCTCCATCAGTGGCATTCCCCATAATCCCCCGACTTGAGGGCACTGTTCTTGAAAATGGGGGTGGCCAATGATCAGTTCCTGACTCTCCTCCCCATCCTGGTGGTGCTTCCCTGATGTAAGATTTACTCAGCATGGCCCTCTGTTCATAAAGCCCTTGGCAGTGGGCTGTGGGCTGTGAGAGCTGTGACCTTGACTGGAGCTTCTCACCCTCCCACCCCACTTGACCTCAGGCTGGATGGGGCCCAGCTGAAGAGTCAGGGGACCTGGATTCAAGTCTTACTGCAGGACCCTGGCCAGGCACCCCTTAGAGTTGTTTGCGGGTCTGTAAGGGAGGGATTGGAGTCTTGATGGGGTGGAACGGGAAACCTTACAGAAAGTGCCAAACGCATGGCCTGGCCCCTGGGTCCCTCGGACGCCTGCTGCTCTCTTCCCCTCAGTTTCCTCCTCTGAGCCTTGGCCCCCTGGAGGGGATGGGGTGTGGGAGCCCATGAGCACCTGTGTGGTCACAGAAGCCATGGTGGTCATTGCAGCTTCCTCCTCATCTCCCCGCTACACCTCAGACCTGGAGCAGGCCCGGCCCCAGACATCAGGAGAAGAGGAGCTGCAGCTGCAGCTGGCCCTGGCCATGAGCCGCGAGGAAGCTGAGAAGGTGAGCCCCTCCTGGGGCAACCCGGGAGGCCCCACAGCTGGGCTGGGGGTGGCATGGGGAGGGAACTGTAGAAAGGAGAGAGGCCTGCATTCACCACACCTTGACTCTTAGGCTCCCCTACTCTGGGCCCCTAAGCCCTAATCCCGCTCCCAAGGATTGCATAGGACCTGTCTGTGTCCCTGGGGTTGTCCCTGCAGGGACCACCTTCCCGCTTCAGTCCTCTCTGGCTGGGCCTGGAAAGTGTGTGTGTAGTGGGCTGGGAGTAGATGAGTGTGGTATGGGCCTGCTGCCGCCTCGTAGAAGGGGAGGGGATGAGTATGCTGACAGACACATTCCTGGGAGACAGAGACATGCTACCCCCCCCCCCCC